AGCAAATCTTTCTCTATTAAATATTCTCCCAGGCAACAGCTATGATAAAATACATAATTCACTTCTCGGTAATAAGCATTTTGGTAATAATGTTCAATATAAAGGATCTTCGGAATACATTCAAGTTTGGCAATTGCCAAACAACAAATTTTTATTTGATATAATTGATTCAAATTACGCCAAAGACAAAGAATTTGAGGTTATTTTACAATATGATGATGTGACATCAGTCAAGAAAGAGGTTAATATGATTGATGAGAACCAATATTCATTTAATATTGATTTTGAGGAATTTGTTGGAGTTGATAAAAATTTATTGATTAAAATAACTGATAAAAATGGTACAATTATAAAAGAATTTAACTATTTCCAAACAAATGAAAGAATCTTGGATGGTGGTAGTGAAGAAGAAGAAGAACCTATTATGAGTGATTATGATTATTACGATGAGAAATTCTTGAAAAATGATGGATTTGATGATGATGAATTTGATAATGATGATGACAGTGGTATTAGCTTTGCCATTAGTACAATTTATCAACGAACCAATAAGATTGTGAATCATGCAGTAGAAGATATTTCTTTAGTGATGGCACGTGTTAAAGCCGTTGCTGAAAAAGTGTTTAAAAAATCTCATGATTATTTTTCCGGGAAATTCAGCTTCTGGTTACCAGTTTTCTACGAAAAGGTTAAATGTTTTGTGAAGGAGATGTTGGATTTCTAAGTAAAAGTGTTGTTGACTAGTGTGTATTTGGAGTAAGAAATTTGATCAGTATGTATGTTGATGGTGCATTAAGTCATTTTTTCATATTGAATATTTTATACAAATTACTGGATTATTATTATTTTTAATGTGTATTAGTCATTATTATTATTACAATATTTATTAATTAATATTAGTATTAGTCTTAATAAGTTTCATAATAACTATCTTATTGATGATAATAATTTCAATTTCTCAGCACCACAACTGTAATGTGGCGTATACTTATTTTTATAATTCAAATATCCTCCATATAAAAGTAATTAGCCTAAAGGTATAGAGGCATTTTATTCTTTGATTTCATTAGTAGTATGTTCTGAGTTCTATCTAGAAAATTTACAAAGACATTAAAATTTATTCCAACAAAACCGGCAACATTTAATTCCATAAACAATAAAAATGACAATGATGACAAAAAAAAATTACCTATCAAATGCACCCTAATATCATTGTCCTATATATATGCAAGTTGAGTAGCATGACATCAAAACCCTCTTATTATAAAAGGTTTGTAGTGAGGGGCCTTATGAGTAAAAAAACTTGCTTTTAAATTTCCCAATCAAAGTTTAAAGAAAGTATAGTATTATTAGAGAACTAAAGCAATAGAATTGTTTAATTATTATTTATAAACTAAATTTTGGTTTTTATTTACTTTGTGAGCCTGATCCAATGTGAAAGTCCTTCTACAAATTTAAATAGCCCACTGTGTTTATTAGTTTCTTCAAAAAGTAAAAAATTACATCATAATATGTTACAAATGCCATGAATGACCCAAAAATTCAGAAGGACTTTATAATAAATAGTATTTTATAAATGTACATTCAAACCTCATTATAACGAATTTAGAACTAGTACAAATTTCGAAAGCAGCTGCAGAAATATCCAATCAAATACATCATTTTGCAGATACTTTCTAAATTTGTACTAGTTATAAATTCGTTATAATGAGGTTTGAAATCAGATAAAAAAGAAACAAAGTTGTAATTTACTTTTCAAGTTATTGGAAATAGTCCAACATCTACCTATCAATTTGGAAGTAGCATCAAGTTGTGAAGACCCTTCAATATGATGTTTCTTAAAAATTTAACAATATCTTTGACAGAATCTATAATTTCTTTTGCCCAAGGTAAATCTATAATTTTTTTAATAATAAGATTCACTCCATGTGCAAAGTAATATGAATTAATTAAAAATTAGTAATTCTAATAATCATGTTAATAAAATCATTTATAAAAAATACCTATAAAAAATAATTTTGTTAAATTTATTATTAAGAATCTTAAGGGCCTTTTTCATGTTGGCCACATTATCAGTCAAAACTGCAACAACTTATCTTGTCCAACTTCGTTAATTACTTTTAATTTTTCGGAGATATATTCAGCAGTGTGTGATGGTTCTTTGGTTTCTAATGCTTTCCAAAATAGTGGTTTTGGTAAAGTAACCACGAAATTAACAATTTATTTATTACAGTTGTTTGTCTATCATTTGTTATACATACATATTTTGATTTTTCAATTTGATTATTATTATTTTCAGTAATTTCATTATATTTATCATTTAACAATTTGATAGCGAGTGTTTTTCTGGATTGGTAATTTGTAAGAAAGATGTAGTTTTTGATAAAATAGTGATTTTTCTACAATTGATAGGGGAGACCACTACCAAAAATTGCTAAAGATAAATAATTGTCTAATTCTTCTTTTCTTTAATTGAACATTTATAAACAAATCCTTTCATGACTTTTTGTTACTTTTTTCATGAGCATTATCAAAATCTTTCCTTTTAGCTTTATTTTTTTTTTTAACAAAATTTTCAATTCATTTGGTGCGTCATTACAAGAAAGTAAATGTTTAATCATGCGAAGAGATTGTCCATCAAAAGTATGTTGACAATATAAAAGTTATTCCACTCTCGTATAAAGGAAAATATTAAAGATTTTATTTCACTATAAAGTCTTTGTATATTGTAGGTTCAAATAGCTGATGAAAAATAATCAAATCGGAACTCAAACACTCCAAATTCATACATACGGTTTGACAAACTCCTCAATTTAAAAAAAAAATGATGGAAGAGAAAGTCTTGAACCATTGTAAAGGATCCAAACAGCATCCTTATTGGAAGTAAAGCATCGGAAAATATTGTTGGGAACTTAAAGGACAAAAAACCTATTAAACATGCGTTGAGAGCAACTTTTTGTAAAACTTTCATTTTATTAATTAAAAGTCAATTCATATTAATATGAAAATTAAAAAATTAAAAAAAAAATTAAATTGGAAAATGTTTCAAATGAAAAAACATTATTTAAGTTATAATATATTACAGCCGGATTTCTTCTGAGCATGTTCTCTTGCTTGTCGAGCGGCTTCATCCTTTAATCTTTTTATTTCTGCTTCTGTTGCTCTTTTATGTTCTTCCGCTGCCCTTCTTTGTTGTTCCTTTTCTTCTCGAAATTTTCTATCTGCTTCATCCAATTTTATTTTGATCTCTCTTTGCATTTCTTCATTTAAATTTTTCATTTTAATTTCCGCTTCTTCTCTTTGTCTTGCCATTTCTTCTTCTTGTCTTGCCACTCTCTCTTGTTGTGCCTTCAAATCTTCTTCAATCTCACCTACAAGTTTTTCTAATACTTCTTTTTCAGTCATATAACTTCCAATTCTTTCATTTAACTGGTCTAAATTTTCTGGTCTGTAAACTTCTTTACAAGCATTTAAATGCAATAGAACTCTTTTTCTTGATTCATCTCTGATTATTTTGTTGGTTTCTTTAGCACGACCAACTAATGGTGGATTATCTATATGTATAACCTTTTTACATGCTTTGATTACTGCTGAAAGATCTTTGTTTTCATTGATAATTTGTCGCTTATCATTTTCACACTCGTCGGCATCTTCAAATTCAGGAAAATTGGTTCGCACAATGGTAGTATACTTGACAACATTATTGTCAAAAATAATGGTTCTTAATAAACCATAAGCATCCACTTCTTCTTTGGTAAATCTACCACTTGTAACAAATAGTATTTGACTTAACCCATTTTCGATGGAATGAGAAGCATCTGCCAGTTTATAAAGGACTTCTTGTTGGGTTAATTTTGTATCACCAAGACCAACTGTATCGATGAGTCTAAACGACATCCCATCAATTAAAAATTCTCGAACATTGGCATCTCTAGTTTCACTGGTAGAACCCGAACTTTCTTTAAATTCTTTTGTACCGCTTATTACGTTCGCTACGGTGGATTTTCCGCTTCCTGTTCTACCAATTAATAATATTGTTCGACTTTGCATTTTTGATTTTTTACGCAAAAAAATAATTTGTAAATGAGTAAAAAGTAATCAATCGCTACATTTATATCCCTCGTTATCATTAATATCAATAATTGCTGTTATCCATTTTTATGTTAAAATGGTACGATAACAAATGAAAACGATTTTTCCATGTTACGCATTAATATTAACTATTTATGTCGCGAAAATCAATACAAATTAAGAAATAATAGAATATTTACTAACGATATATAGAAATACTGGGCTCATTTAAATTTCCAAAAACTGTAATAATAATAATGAGATGAAAATACTTACTATTTATTATTAAATAAAATTTTTTTCAAAAAACAAGGATATTTATTGACTGTAATGATCTTTATTGTAAATAATAGATGAACACTTACGTCCTCCAAACTATTATCAAACCGGTTAAATCATAGATTGGTCTTGCCAAAACAACAGCAGCAAAGATAATCAAGAAATTTATGTTAAAATGGTACAGTAACAATTTATGTTGGCATTAACTATATATTTATGTTGCGAAAATCTTTACAAATTAAGAAATAATAGAATATTTACTGTAATAGAATACAATAATTTGCTCATTTTAAATTTCCAAAAACTGTAATAATAACAATGATGATGATGGAAATACTTACTATTTATTATTAAATAAAATGAAAAACAATATTTTTTCAAATACAATGAATGGTATTTATTGACTGTAATGATCTTTATTGTAAATAATAAATAAACACTTACGTACTACAAACTATTAACAAACCGGTTAAATCATAGATTGGTCTTACCAAAACAACAACAACAAAGATAATCAAGAAATATTTGAATTGGTTCAGTTGATTCTTGTCAGTTTAAACTTTTTTCTTCAAATTGTATGGTGCAGTACTTATAAAAAATTGATAGCAAATTTTGGTTTTTTTTAAATTAAGGAAGGACATTTATAAAAAATTATAGTAACCCAATTATTATTTTTTTTTTTTGGTTATTCTTCGCGATCAGTAATCTCAGCCGGCTAAGTCGACTTGCTTAAAATGATCTATTTTTCTACATGTATACATACATACATTATCTAAAATTTATATACCATAATGACGACGAAGTTGCTCGCCGGCTTTGTGTTTTTATTCTCAAATTAAAATGTATTTATTATTATTATTCATGAAATTATAAAAATTAAAACCATTTAAATACACAAGCTAAACTATCTAGAGTTTCACCGACTAGTTGAAAAATACCGCATTTTTTCTCGACATGTTCTCTTGACTTTTGAGCGATTTGGTATTTTAAATTTTTTATTTCTTCTTGTGTTGCTCTTTTTTGTACTTCTATCGCCCTTCTTTGTTCTTCCATTTCTCTTTGAAATCTTCTATCTGCTTCATCTAATCGTCTTATGATTTCTCTTTGCATTCCTTCATCTAAATTTTTCATCTTAACTTTTCTTTGTCTTGACATTTCTTCTTGTTGTCTTGCAATTTTCTCTTGTTGTATCCTCAAATCTTCTTCCATCCTACCTACAAGTTTTTCTAACATTTCTTTTTCAGTCATATAATTTCCGATTCTTTCGTTTAACTGATCCAAATTTTCTGGTCTATAAACTTCTCTACAAGCACTTAAATGTAATAAAATTCTTTTTCTTGATTCGTTCCTGGTTGTTCTGTTGGTCTCTTTAGCACGACCGATCAATGGTGGATTATCTAGATGTAGAACCTTTCTACATGCTCTAATTACTGCTGCAATATCTTCATTTTCATTAATCATTTTTCTTTTATCATTTTCACACTTGTTAACATCTTCAAATTCGGGAAAATTAGTTCGTACAATGGTAGTATACTTGATAACATTATCGTCAAAAATGACGGATCTTAACAAGTTGTAAGATTCCACTTCTTCTTTGGTGAATCTTCCGCTTGTAACAAATAATATTTGATTTAACCCGTTTTTGATGGAATGAGCGGCTTCTGCCAATTTATAAAGAACTTGTTGTGTAGTTAGTTTTGTATCGCCAAGACCGACTGTATCAATGAGTTTAAATGATTCTCCATCAATTAAAAATTCTCGAATATTAACATTCCTGGTTTCGCTAGTAGAACCTGAGCTTTCTTTAAATCCTTCAGTGTTGCTGATTACATTTGCTAACGCGGATTTCCCATTTCCTGTCCTGCCAATTAATAATATTGTTCGCATTTTTGATTTTTGATTCTTGCGCAAAAAAACAATTTGCAAATGAATAAGTCATATTTATATATCTCGTTATCGATAACATCGATCATTACGTCTATTTTTATGTTTAAATGGCACAGTAACGGATAAAGATTTTTAATTTCTCCATATTTGATTAACGTTGGCGTTTTTTCATATATGAAGATCACTAATTAAAGAAACAATAAAAAAGAGTCGATGCTTCAGGAAAACCGGTTATATACATTTACTATGATTGGTACATATTCGCTCGCAGTAAACTAATTACAAAAAAAGATTCTTTGGAAAATGAAATCAAACATACACTCTCTAGGCAAAAGTTTCAGCCACCACAAATCAAATAATTCCGAAAAAACGTACATTAAAAATTATGCAGTAGAATTTAAGGTTACTGTCAAGTCTAGGAAAATAACAATCAAAAAAAATAAAAATTCGTTTTTTTAAAAATGATTTAATCCTACGTTGTCCATTAATTAAAGGCTTAGATACAGGAACACGAGAATAATATTTAAATCATGTAAAATTCTTCTACTAGTTTTAGTTGAAGCCTGTGAACCTGTAATTGCATTGAATTGGTCTTTTATTTGCTTGGCAGATTTACTATTTTCTTTTTTTTTTCAACTCATTCTTGTGATCAGCATCTGAAAGTTTAGCACGTCCCGCTTCTTGGTAACTCTTCATCACTATCTCTCTCCTTACAATTGTTCTTGCAAAGCCAAATGTTTTAGAAATATGTGAAATGGTATTACTGCCTTTGTAAAGTCCAATTATTTGTCCATGTTCAGATTCTTTTTCAATTTTATTAATTTTTTAAAAAAATAAACAGCAAAAAAACGTAAAAATATGAAAAACTCAAGATATCACATGCCGGAATTTCAGGTGTAGTTATTATATAAGTTTTTGGGCCAAATTCTTTGTTTTTTTGTATTTTCCTAGGCATCACAGAAACTTTAAATAACATTGAGAACGTTAGCTACAATTTGGCATATATATCTTTTTATGATGTACATTTATGCGGGGTTATTAGACCGAAACTTTTGTCCAGGGAGCATAAATTATTTAAAATTTATATATTGTAATGATGACGAAGTTTCTCGCCGATTTTATTCTTAAAATATGTTTTTTATTATACATGAAATTATAAAAATTAAAACCCAAAGAAATTATCTATAGCTTCACCAATTCGTTGGAGAAAACCTTTTGACTTGACATGTTCTCTTGCTTGTCGAGCGATTTCATCCTTTAATCTTTCTACTTCTGCTTCTGTTGCTCTTTTTTGTTCTTCCGCCGCCCTTCTTTGTTCTTCCATTTCTTTTTGAAATTTTCTATCTGCTTCGTCTAGTTGCCTTAGGATTTCTTTTTGCATTTCTTCATTTAAATTTTTCATTTTAATTTCCGCTTCTTCTCTTTGTCTTGACATTTCTTCTTCTTGTCTTTCCATTCTCTCTTGTTGTACCTTCAAATCTTCCTCCATGCTACTTACAATTTTTTCTAACATTTCTTTTTCAGTCATATAATTTCCAATCCTTTCGTTTAACTGATCTAAATTTTCTGGTCTATAAACTTCTTTACAAGTACTTAAATGTAATAAAATTCTTTTTCTTGATTCGTTCCTGGTTATTCTGTTGGTTTCTTTAGCACGACCGATCAATGGTGGATTATCTACATGAATAACCTTTCTACATGCTTTAATTACTCCTGCGAGTTTTTCATTTTCATTAATCATTAGTTCTTTATCATTTTCACACTTCTCGACATCTTCAAATTCAGGGAAAGTAGTTCGTACAATGGTAGTATACTTGACAACATCATTGTTAAAGATGATGGATCTTAATAAGTCATAAGATTCCACTTCTTCTTTGGTGAATCTTCCGCTTGTAACAAATAGTATTTGGTTTAACCCATTTTTGATGGAATGAGCGGCTTCTGCCAATTTATAAAGAACTTGTTGTGTAGTTAGTTTTGTATCGCCAAGACCGACTGTATCAATGAGTTTAAATAACACCCCATCAATTAAAACTTCCTGAATATTAGCACTTCTAGTTTGACTAATAGAACCTGCACTTTCTTTAAATATTTCACTATCGCTAATTACGTTTGCTAATGCGGATTTTCCATTTCCTGTTCTACCAATTAGCAATATCGTCCTTCTTTCGTATTTTTTTTTCCCCATTTTTATGATTTTATGATTTTATGTATAATTCAAAAAATTTCTCTTTTTATTTATATATCTCGTTATTTAATGTCGATCACTGTAGCCATTTTTATGTTAAAATGGTACTCTTAATTTATCCCCATCTGATTATTTTTAAACTGGGTCCGGCGAACGAGTTAGTTCCTGTTTTGACGCTAAGAGATTATCATGATAGCTTAATAAACTCGTTTTAACTATGAAAACAATAAAATCATTATCATCATATCTGCTAAATTCAATGGTACTATATAATTTATTGTTTCCTAAATTGGAAAAAACTAATAAGCCTTTTTATTTATTTATTATTTTTTGGTGTTACAGAAAAGATTTATGCACCCCGTAGATATTTCCATAATAATAATACAAAATTCGGAGTTTCGTATGCGTAATAGTGGCATCAAGCCTCGTGCGCCATTATTTACTATATACGCATTTGGCCAACACTGGTTACACTAATTGGAACTTTTCGATGTGACAAATATTTTTTAACATTTAACAGTATTAGGGATGTTAATCGATCCTTAACCGTCAGTCCTATACTGGGACCAGAGTCTCCCTTTCACACCCTAAATTTTCCATTAATATTCTTTAGAGAGAGGATACTTTTTTTTTTTTAAAAAAAAGAATAATCAAAATGCTAATTATTCAGTCTCAAAATAATTTTTAATGTCTGTCTGTCCAGGGTGATTTCAGACATCGTTTGTGTTGCTTCCATGTTCCACGTACACGGAGTCTTTTCAATAGAAAGAGAGGGATCCAACCTATTCTAAAAACGATTCTATATATAACCACACCCACTTTACATGATAAAACTTTGATTTTGCAGATCTTTTTCGATTTTCTCAATGTTGGATCTCTCTTTCTATCGGAAGGACTCCACATTTGTCCTGTTTTAAAAAAATGGAAGATACTCTGTAGAGCAAAAGGTCAAAAGGTAAATAGTCTATGAAATTTATAAAAGTGTGGACAATGGAATGAATAAATCGAAGCCTAGTAGTATTGGTAGAACTGTTGAGGATATTTTATACGAATTTGCAGATATGAAGCATAAGTTATACTTGCATGTTGTTAGTTTTCGCAGTCTTCGGTATAGCATAGGGTTTCTATTCGTAATACACTCAATCTTTAATTCCAATTAAAAAATCTATTCGAATTATTCGTTTTATTTAAATTACTAGTTTATTCATTTTATAAAATATAGGTCTTATTTCTTTAACAAGATAATATAAACAATAATTACATTTATAATCTATAATACTACTATAATTGCTAGTACTATGACTTAAGGAAAATGTCGACTACTACTATTTATTATTATCACCACATTCAAGGACTAAGGAAAAATAGATTGATAAAGAAAATTTTTTTAACTGGATTGGATTATTCGAATTATTATTATTAATTTTATTATTATCGTCCATTTTATTCTAATTGCTAGTTTTATTCGAATAGAAGCACTAGTGTAGCACCATCAGTAAATGCATTGTAAATAGCTTGGCACATTCTTTTACTGTTGATTTAAAGGATAGTCAAGCCAAACCCATGAACTTTTTTATCATGATGAAATAGACTAATTGAAATCCATCAACATCAGGAATGAACTAGTATTAATTCATATGCAACAGTACACTCTGTTATACGCAAATGGTTAATTTTCGGTCACCTTAACAGTACAAACAGTACACATGGAATCCGAGAAAATTTAGAAGTTGATTGGGAGTTGATTATGACATTAAAGAAGATTTTACTGTTGGTATTATTAGTGCAATTACTCTACTATGATTTTTATCAATCATACTAACTTTTGTTCATTCATTTATACGAATTGGAATTATCAAGAAACAAAGCATGTGATTTGATGATTTTATTATTTCCCCAATTCAATAATTATCATCAACAATAATTTTGGTAATATACATGTACTATAGATAGTATAGCAATTTAATGAAAATGAGATCAAATTTATAACGTATAAAAAACCCCAGCAAAGGTAAAGGTCCAAGGTTTTCAAATGAACCATAAATCATAATTCAAACTATACCTCTTTTCCTAACCTCCATTTAAAGTTCCTTCTAATGGTTCGGTTTTCAGTTCAGTTCAGTTTGGTTAGCAACCAATTAAATTTCATGTTTTCATTGTTCCAAATGGAATTTCGATAGTTGTTCAGCACACTACTTGACAACAAAGAAAATAGAAATTAACGATTACATTATATTGTATTTTGAGTCATCTATAAGGCATGAAGCTTGAAATTCTGTATACTAGTACAAATAATTCAATAATATTAATTATATAGTCAATAGTAAAACCCCTCGGACTCTATCACGTCTTTTTTTAGTAATTTGTAACTTTAGTCATCTGACTTTATTTGCCCAATCATAATATAAGGATTTCTATGTAGGTGTTGTTTGTGTTTAAAATTTATACTTATTAGATTATCATCGTTAACCAATTCTGAGAATTCTGCTGCTGCTATTGCGCGTGCTTTATTACTACCACACTGGGATTATTCAGAGACAGTTGGATGTTGAAGAATATGTACCAGATGATGATGTTATTTCTCAACAAAAAAACCTTGATAAAACAAATCCTTTCATGGATATGAAAAACACAATTTCGAAACTGGAATGTATTATACAATCTCAAATAATTGATGAAGCAGAAAAGACGCATATATAGACAAGAATTGTGTTCAAATATTTGCAACAAAAATGGCTCAATAAACAAATTGCCAAAACTCGAGTTGATCTTGACACCATTCCACAACATTGCCACAGCTACAAAGACCCAGGGTCGGCAAGTTGATTAGTCCATTGCCAAAACTCGGGTTGATCTTGACACCACTCTACAACACTGTCGCAGCTACAAAGACCCAGGGTCGGCAAGTTGACTAGTCCATTGCCAAAACTCGGGTTGATCTTGACACCATTCTACAACACTGTCTCAGCTACAAAGACCCAGGGTCGGCAAGTTGACTAGTTCATTGCCATTTAAAAAATACTAAATATGGTTAAAGTGTTGCGCGTGGACCAATGGATCACCAATGGACCACACATTTGCCAACCCTGTATCAAGATGACCCCTACACCACTTACTCCAACAAATTTATTGGATTGCACATAGTAAAAGTAGATCTCATTTTTAGATGCAAGCGTGAAGCTTCAGGAAAAGAAAAGAAATCTGATTCAGTAGATCTAAAATTTGAAGCTTTAGAATCAGATTCAGATCCATGTTCATATGAAACACCAATATTTGAATTTGAATTTTATATTGTACTTTATCTTATTCACTATTAATATTATTGGTATTCGTGTTGTAATCTTGACTAATTACAAAATATAACAATAAATGAATAATTAATTCTAGCAAAGAAAAGCACCTTTATTTTTTTATTTGATTTAATGAATAATTGGGCAAGTAGAGAATTCCCAAAATCCAAGAATTTATTATTTGCCCTCATATCTTAAATCAGAACTTTTAATAATGATTCGTTAAATCGAGGTCTGCTAAACTGAGATTCATCATAATATAATATCAAACATATTAATATGTCGCGATAATAATGATTACATTATAGTTTGGTAATTCCAAATCAGTATTTTAATTTAGCAATTAATTTAATCAAAATTAATTTAATCTTCATATTTATTGAACATGACACCACAAGGTCACTACTGATATAATGTGATCATAGACATCCATTAAACTATTTGATGATACTCTTTTTGTGCTTATTTTTATCTAGACACCAATAAAATTTCAATGCAGATCATAAAAAAATACACCTCCAATCATTCTGCGTGACAAATCTTTCGACCATTGACAATTAATTTTTTATAAATCGATCAATTGGTCATGCGTGCGTGCGCATATGTATTTATTTATAATAATTAGGAGTGATAAATGGCATTTTTACAATTCGAGCCTTTTGTAATTGATTACGAACTTTGACTTGAAGTTCGGTATTGGATTTGTGAAACCCTGATTTTACATATCCCATTGCAATATTCTTCTTGAGGGATGGTGATGGTCCACCACTTGTAACTTTACCTAGAGATAGAGAATTTTTTCATAAATGAATAAACTAATAAATTAAATAAATAATTATAATAAATGTGGATATTTTTTTGATTATACCAATTTTTACTTCTTCCATATTAAAAATCTCAGCGTTTTCTATATATGTATATATAAGTATAATTAATTCATGTAAATTGTTGTTTTTACTTAATAATTTAAATTTTACCTCTTGCTGGTGCACCTTCAACTATGAGGCCAACCCGACGACGAGTTACTCCATTTTTAATGTGATTAAGGATATGATTTGCACCCAAGAATCCGCCTTCTTGTCTTCTGCGTTTTCCTAATATAAGTTAAAAATAATTAATTCGACAATAATTTTACTCTCAAATAACAATAATAATAATAGTACCAATTGTCCATGTTAAACCAGCTTCAACAGGTGATGTTGTATCATCAAGATCATGACCATATAAACAAAGTCCTGCTTCTAAACGTAAACTGTCACGAGAACCTAATCCAGCCAATTGTACAAAAGAATTCTCCAATAATGTATTTGCTAATTTAACTGCTTCAGTTGAAGGGACAGCGATCTTCAAAATAATTTTTTAATATTATTAATATTTGTGTATATATGGATATAACACTATGGATAACTGTTATTATATATGTGTGTGTGTGTGTGTGTGTGTGTACCTCAAACCCATCTTCTCCTGTATATCCAGAGCGGGTCACGTGACAATCCGCTCCATTTATTTTTAAAGTACGCGCCGTCATAAATTTAAAATCATTTAAATTTGCTTCAGTCAAATTCTGAAGAACATTTGATGATTTGGGACCTTTTTTTAAGTAAAAAAAAACTCTCAAGACTTTAGAAAATATTCATATCCAATTAATTAAAGAGCAAACATTCATAATGATACCTTGTAAAGCCAATAACGCATGATCATTAATAACCTCTAATGATACATCTCCACCTTGATTTTGAAATTTCCCCAATTCATTTCTGATATGTGCTAAATCTTTTTGTGCACAACCAGCATTTGATACAATGTAGATGTGATCATGCTTCTTACAAATCACTGTATCGTCAATGATACCACCTTGTTCATTGGTAAAAACTGATAATGTTGAAGTGTCGAGTGGCAATTCTTTGAGATCTGCCACAACTAATTTTTCAATAAATGTTACAGAATCTTTACCTAAGATTCTGTCAAATAAATAAATGTTTCCTTTTCGATTTAGATTCGAGTATATATGTGTATGCGTTCTTTGGAGGTGAAAATGTAAATTGATTACCTCATTTGAAGCATGTGAGATACATCAAATAATGAAGCGTCTGCGCGCGTGTGCAGATGTGAAGCTAATATACCCATATTTGAGTATAAAACTGGCATTGACCAACCAGCAAAAGGAACCTTTTTGATCAAAAAATTAAAGATATTATTTTATTTGTGAGAGTGAAAAATAAAAACTACACAGTTTTTTACTTGCCATTTTTCCGCCTTTTTCGACATGGAAATCATATAACGGAGTTTTTTTCAATTCCTAATATTATATATATATATATATATATATATATACGTATGTATTAATAACGCTAATAATGAAGATTTAATAAATTTAACAAAGAGAAATGTCATGTTAAATACCACTTTTTCATTTTTAAAACTAACAGTTCTTTTACCTCTTCATTTGTAGACGAAGTGAAACTTTGTTTTTTAATCAATGATTGTAATGAAAAAACTCCTCGATTTTTGTCGAATTTGGGAATCAAATTTCTACTATTACGAGTGCAGAAGAGATAATGACAATTATTAGTTAAAGATGAAGAAATGGTTTTCATTTTTTTAAAAAATTTTTGAAATCTAAATTTTTTGTGCAGTGTGGCACAATAGGTGTTCATGGTATGATGTTAACCAAATATGGGATCTATTGCTGATATTTTCCATATATGGTTAACATATTCCGACCTGTTTTATAAATAAAATAAAGCTATTTTTAAACATTACTTCATCAGATATGATTTTAGTTGAAATTTTTCTAATCCCACTATATGTGGCTGCACACTGAATTTCATAAAATGTTCATCTAATTTTAATGATTTGCGAATTATTGTTAGGAATTTGAACGATTGATGATTATGATTATGAATGTAAGGAAGGTATAGGTATAATGTCATTTATTTCGAATTGAATTATTGATGAAATATTATTATCAAAAATTTGAACAATTGAAATTGAAGTGATGGGGGTAAAAGTGCAACATTATCAATTCTTTCATCACTTGAACTTGACATTCTCGCGAAAATTTTTTTTAAGGAACGTGAAAATTTTTTGTTGAAAGCTCGCACTTTTGAATTGGGCAATTGGCAGACAGTGTATACCCGCAATGCACGGACCAGAAAGTCCTGAAAAAGTCTTAAGCTTTTTTTAAACGTGAAATGTTTGGAATATTTCGAGGTAGCTTTTTGGTCAACTTCAATTATTTTACGTTGTATGGCAGAATTTGAGTTAACTTTTTAGCTACACTCGTCGATTAATTGGAAGCTTTTATACTAATATACAATGCACTTCAATTAATTTATTTATCCTGCTTACTTGTACCTAGAAGACTTTGGTGAATCTGCGAGCATACAATTTATGGTTTATGGTACAAATAACAACGAATTATATATAATAAAAGCAACAAAGGCTCCCGCAGAATTTTTATTTCATTTTTGCTTTTCTTTGGTCGATTAAAGTCGGACGTATGTTTACAACAATTACTTTAACACAATACAATATGTAATAACGATAATATTTAGCTCTTTGTATAGATTGTTCATCAGTAATAATTGTTAGCGATACTTTTGCCAATTGGTATTATTAACACCTCACATTTACACTTAAACAATTAAACCCATTTATAAAAATTTAAACAAAAATGTTTATGCGTAACAAAACCAAAAATCAAACCTTTGCTTTATACCAAAGAAAATAACTCAAAACCACATCATTCTGATAACTATTAAGCCCTACTATTTAATTTCCGACCACAAAAATGTTTTATTAAACAAAAAAAAAAGAATTAATTGTATGTTATGTATAAATATATATTTTCTATGTTTATTTATGTATATTTGTTATTATAAATAAATTGGTAAATGGATGGATGGGTGGATGAATGAAGAATTCAATAAAAGTTTAGTTGTAGTTGATAAATTTTGACAATTTTTAAATCATCCGTTATACACGGACTTTTTAGTACTCCAGTTCCATGCTTGCACCATACTGATTAATTAGTATATAATGGTCTCATCATCACATTAATTTTTAAAAAGTCATTTTAAATAAATATCAGAGATATTAGAAGATGCTTGTTCATTTAAATGTTTTTCAAGCCTGACTGCTTTAATTTTTCCATTTCCTTTTTTTTTTAGAGAAATATTAAATATTAAATATAATACATAATGTGTAAATATATTATTTATTTTATGATTTAATAAATTTGTTTTACGTTTTAATTTAAACAGGACCGTCGATAATCCGCCTTCTAGTTCTTCGTCCACACTTTCAAATTCTTCATCCCTCCACCTTCTAGTCCTTCGTTTACAATTTCATAATCATCTTTTCAAGAATTATTGTTAGTCAATTTACAGGAAGGGCAAAGGTTACAAATGTGAGGAGAAATAAAAAGTTCGTCATTGTGATCGGGGATAATTCCATTAACACTTGAATCGTTTTGAGAATATTGACAATGTTGAGATAGATTATAATCTCTGAGGTCAACACGCGAAATTGGAGACGCTTGATATTAAAATTTTTGAAAATTTACTATATAAAAACACCTACTGCGCGATTCATTTTTTAACTGTAACTTTAATAGTAATTTAACCATTAAATGCATACGGAAATTCGTGTGTCCTCTCGTATGTACTATCTGCCAAAATTTGCTTTAATATAGTAAAAACCTGTTCACAAAGATCAATAGAACTCAATAAGTAATTAATATTTTGCAAATCTCACAGTCATGACAAAGTTCGAGTCATCATCTATTCAATTAGAGAGTTATTGTTTAAAAATGATCAATAGGAGTGGATTTCTATTCTTTCAAAAATCACATGTGGAATTGGAGGCTATAGACGTTGAGCACCATAGAATAGTTGCTGTTGGGTTAATATAAACACACGTCAATCTCATGAATATCGGCTACAATGAAGGAGCTGATTACGAGCGGAAGAAAAAGTTAAACTAGGAGAGGTGCTTTTGAGAAGTATCTGTTTTTTTTTATAATGATATTTTGTTAATTGTTATTTTTTAATAGACTAATTAATTCTTTGATATCTTCAATATCACAATTATTTGAAATAGCTCTCTTTAGGTCTTGGGTTGGAAGGCGGAAAAACTTGGGCAAAGAAGAATAATTTTTATTTATTTACATTTGTGACAAAATTAGATTCGATTTTTAATTGGATCATGTAGTATATATAATAATAATAACATTACTATTACAATAATCTATATTTTATTTTATTTGGGTTTATATTATATATATATATATATTTAATAATAAAAAGAACTCTTATTTTATTTGTTTCATTTTTGATTTTTTAAATTTTTTTATTGAATTTATTGAATCAAACAAATCCATTGTTGATTCAACCAAGAAAAAAAAAAAATTACATTTAACCATTATAATTTATCATATTTTCATTATAAAAAAAAAAAAAAAATGAATGATTTACAAATCGGAACAAGCAGAACCAGTAATGGAATTATTGGTTTACCTTCTTCAACTGGAATGGAAGGTTTTTAATCGTACAAATTATTTATATTTATATTCATATAGTGCATAAATATATATTTATATATCAATCATCAATCTATTATTTTGCAAGTAGGAGGTTTATCACCTACAATGATTTCAGCTATCAATAATTTATCGATTGATGAAAATTCAAGTAGTGAAGAAGAAGAAGAAGAAGAAGAAGTTATAGAAGAATCAGTTGATGATGATGATGTGATGATGGATGATGGGTCACAAATGTATAGGAGGAATTCTGTAAGTAATTAATTATCAATTACTAAATTACCACACACCGCCATCACCACACCACCACCATTACTTTAACTATTAGTCAATTTTAATGCCACACCACTAATAAATAATGAATAACAAATAAAAAATGTAATCCTTTTTAAAAAGAGGAATTATAATCGATATTCTAGAACATCAACATTTAACAATGACAATTACGATGAATCAAATATAAATTTATCACAACCAGTTGCACCAGAGGAACCTTTAAGAGCGATAGTGATTAATAGACCTACTGCTCAAATGATTGAAACATATAGATTACCAAAACCAAAAGATCAAATGTCAGAACAAGAAATAAATAATTTAATTATGAGGTATGAAAGAAGGGAAAAAGTAAAGTTTATATTTGTTCATTAGTTGATAGATTGATTGATTGATTTAGAGATTATATTAATTGACGTTATTATTATTAACTAACAACATTATTATTTGTTAAAGTCCTGTTCCACAAGGTCAAAAGGTTTTATGTAAAATAACTCGTAAAAGAGATAAATTTGGTAAATTTTATCCATTATATGAACTGTTTATTGAAGAACGAGACAACAATGGCGAACAGATAAGAACATTTCTTATGTCAGCTAGAAAGAAAAAGAAAAGTAAAAGCTCACATTATATCATTACCACTGAAAAATTAACAAGCTCTAGCACACCTAAAACCATTGTGGGAAGAGTTAGGTGAGAAGTGGTTATTTAATTATTATTATGGTATTCTGATGAAATTTAATTATTTGCTATTAATGCAATATCATTTTTTTTTTTCATTTTGTTTTGATAGATCTAATTTTTTAGGAACAGCTTTTGTTATATATTCACATGGTAAAAATCCATTTAAGCATGAACCAGATTCGACGGACTTACCACTTAGAGAAGAATTAGGATCTGTAGTTTATGTATGTATATATATCTATATTTATATTATATATTATCATCACTGTTAAAATAAAATCTTTATTAATTTTGGTGGATTAGGATCCTAATATACTTGGATTTAAAGGTCCACGTAAAATGACAATTTTATTAATAGGAATGATGATAAGTGGTGAAAGACCTGAATTTCGTCCCAAAGAAGTATTTTATATATTCACATTTACATTCATTGCCATCAATTAATCAATCAATTAGTGATTAATGGTGTTGTATTGTTTTAGGAATCAGAAACATTAATCGGTAAATTTCGTAATGGTGATAAACGAGATATATTAGTTTTACATAATAAATCACCACAATGGAATGAAGGTATGATATCTTATTGGGGAATGGGAAAGATAATTCTTTTTTTAAAAGGATAAAAATTATTGTTTTAATTTAGAAGTAATGAATGTTATATTAATATCAATTTATTATTTAAATATTTTCACGTGATAGATACAAGATCATATGTGCTAAATTTTAGTGGTAGAGTAACTCTGGCATCTGTAAAGAATTTTCAAATTGTACATGATAACGATTGTAAGTAGTATTTATTATATACAAACCAATTCAATATATCAATCAATAATAATAATAACCTTTTTTTTTTTTTTACAAGTGGATTATATTATAATGCAATTTGGTCGTGTATCAGAGGACTCATTTACAATGGATTTTATGTACCCAATGTGTCCCATTCAAGCTTTCGCAATTGCTTTAACAAGTTTCGATGCTAAACTTGCATGTGAATAAATAATATAATGTATCAATAATTTTTTTTTTTTTTAGAAAATTAAAGACTTATTATTTATTCATAAACAAATATTTGAAGTGGTAATCGTGTTAATAAAATTCCCAAAAATTTTCTTTACCAAAACCATAAAAAAGCAAAGCAAGCAAAAAAAAAAATACCAAGATTATTTTACTTATTTACTTTATTTATTTATTAAATTTGATCCTAATGAAATAATTACATTACATTATACATTATATAAAAACTATATAAAATATATAAAAATTATAAATTCCCTGTGAACTATTGCTTGAATTGTGTTACAGTACAAAAAAATAATCATTGACCACCACGAAGACGGAGAACAAGGTGAAGAGTTGACTCCTTTTGGATGTTATAGTCTGATAAGGTTCTACCATCTTCCAATTGTTTACCGGCGAAAATCAAACGTTGCTGGTCTGGTGGGATACCTTCTTTATCTTGAATTTTTTGTTTCACATTATCGATGGTATCAGTTGACTCGACTTCTAAAGTGATTGTTTTACCGGTCAAGGTTTTGACAAAAATTTGCATACCACCACGAAGACGAAGTACAAGATGGAGAGTTGATTCCTTTTGAATGTTATAGTCAGACAAAGTTCTGCCATCTTCCAATTGTTTACCGGCGAAGATGAGACGTTGCTGATCTGGTGGGATACCCTCTTTATCTTGAATTTTTTGTTTAACATTGTCAATGGTATCGGTTGATTCGACTTCCAAAGTGATAGTTTTACCGGTCAAGGTTTTGACGAAGATTTGCATACCACCACGAAGACGAAGGACAAGATGAAGTGTTGATTCTTTTTGGATGTTGTAGTCGGATAAGGTTCTGCCATCTTCCAATTGTTTACCGGCAAAGATGAGACGTTGCTGGTCTGGTGGGATACCTTCTTTATCTTGGATTTTTTGTTTTACATTGTCAATGGTGTCGGTTGATTCTACTTCCAAGGTGATGGTTTTACCGGTCAAAGTTTTGACAAAAATTTGCATACCACCACGAAGACGAAGGACAAGATGAAGTGTTGATTCTTTTTGGATGTTATAGTCGGACAAGGTTCTGCCGTCTTCCAATTGTTTACCGGCGAAAATGAGACGTTGCTGATCTGGTGGGATACCTTCTTTATCTTGAATTTTTTGTTTAACATTATCAATGGTATCGGTTGATTCGACTTCCAAGGTGATTGTTTTACCGGTCAAGGTTTTGACGAAGATTTGCATACCACCACGAAGACGAAGGACAAGATGAAGTGTTGATTCTTTTTGGATGTTATAATCTGACAAGGTTCTGCCATCTTCTAATTGTTTACCGGCGAAAATGAGACGTTGCTGATCTGGTGGGATACCCTCTTTATCTTGGATTTTTTGTTTAACATTGTCAATGGTGTCGGTTGATTCTACTTCCAAGGTGATGGTTTTACCGGTAAGGGTTTTGACAAAAATTTGCATACCACCACGAAGACGAAGGACAAGATGAAGTGTTGATTCTTTTTGGATGTTGTAGTCGGACAAAGTTCTACCGTCTTCCAATTGTTTACCAGCGAAAATCAAACGTTGCTGGTCTGGTGGGATACCTTCTTTATCTTGGATTTTTTGTTTTACATTGTCGATGGTGTCGGTTGATTCTACTTCCAAGGTGATGGTTTTACCGGTAAGGGTTTTGACGAAGATTTGCATACCACCACGAAGACGAAGGACAAGATGAAGTGTTGATTCTTTTTGGATATTGTAGTCGGACAAGGTTCTACCATCTTCTAATTGTTTACCAGCGAAAATAAGACGTTGCTGGTCTGGTGGGATACCTTCTTTATCTTGGATTTTTTGTTTTACATTATCAATAGTGTCAGATGACTCGACATCTAAAGTGATGGTTTTTCCGGTAAGTGTTTTAACAAAGATTTGCATGTTTATTAAATTTTTTAATGGTGGTTTGAATTATTTTTCTGTAACCTTGACGCTTATTAATAATACTAAGAAAATAAAGTTTTGACTTATTAATATTTATTAATAATATACAAGGATATTATTATATGTATTATTTGAAGAATAAAAATAAAATTATTTACTTTGAAAAATTTAAATTTTAATATATAAAATTTAATGAATATAATTTGTATGTAATTTTTTTTTTAAGAGGAAAAAAAAAGATTTGAAGAGAAAGGGAGAGAAAAGAATTTCAGGAGCCTATTTATACTAATCACCAAGGAATTCCAAGAAAAAATGTTGTGTAAGCAAGTATGACTAATATGACTAATTTAACTATTTTATTTATTTATTATATAGTAATATAATAAAAAAACTACGTATTATAACAAGCATATTCTAGATTGTACATGAGTTTTCTTTTTTAATATATAACAAATAAGTTAGTATAAAAATAATTTGAATGTAAACAATAATACTTTTTTCTCCTTTTTAGGAAATACCAATTAAATACGGGGCATCACCAGACCGCCACACATGATAATAATAATAAGGACGAAAACCGAAAACCCATTTAAAAATTCGTTATTATTATAACAAAAAACTACTATGGTATTTTGTGAATTTTGTGAAGCAAAATTATATTAATTCGTTGAGGTTTGATTATACATGACCGATAATAATCATGCATCTCGCTCGATTTAGCAGATTTTGGGTTTAACGAATAAAAAATTTCTGTCTATAATAATAATAATAATTATTATTATCATTATTTAAAAATATATAAGAGAGAGGGATTATGGCACCTCGAACCAAACAAAAATGAGTCAACACCACTATCATATGGAATCCTTTTTTTGATTGATAAATTTTGAGATCTTTAAATTACAACCGATGCAGATCCTTTTAAAGTTACACAAAAACGCAATAAGCTCTTTTTCTGTTGCAATTACAATTACAATCGTACGATTAACAATAAAAAAAAAACGAAACGAACTATTTATCACGCGATCAAATTTTTATCAGCCACAAACTTTAATTCTATTTACCCCTTTTTGTTCACCAAATTTGACACAATTCTAGAAAATCAGGATGCTATTATTTCTTTTTTGGTCATTACGCCTGGTGATCTCCTGCCCACATTTTTTGTATTGATAAAAAAGTTGTATGAAAGCTTCCATATAAAGGCAATAATTGAAATAAAAAAGTAATGATGTTTTTGAATAACTATAATTTCGTATATAGAGCCTCTATCAATATGAAAGAAGATTCATTAGAAAGCTACAATAGCACAGTTTGTTTCGGAATTTCTATTTTACATATTAATGATCAACTGATGTATGATTAAAATTTGAATTGATTTATTAAAACGAAGTATTGTAAAAAGACAATCAGAAAATGAATTTGAAGATGATAATGATCAAACAAACCAATGCCCACTAGTATAGAAGCTACAAAAATGCGCTCGAATATTAATACATACAACAAAAAAAATTTAGAAATTTTCAAGTAGAAAAGGTAACTATAGATTAAAGGGTGAAATTTCTTGTAAAAATTTCAAGAGTATAAACGAAAATTGAAAGATTATTACATTAATATTAATATTAATATATAAAATGAATTTTATTTTTAGATATTAATATGGTTCAAGATTTTAGGGGGTTGACTCTATAAAAGATACAAAGTTGACTTCTCAATGTGAAAATGCCATTAATTCATTTTATTGTATGCAACATTCCATTTCATACTATTTCCAAAGCCTTATTTACGATTGAATATATGGATGGACAGATTATTCTAGCAAATCATTATGGAAACTTTGACATTGATATAATTAAAGCATTGACTAAAGGTAGTTGTTCACCAGAGCCATTGGACGATTTGACTAAAGTAAAAGCTCTTGATGTAAGTAAAACCACTTGACGTAATTAAACCATTTGACGTAAGTAAAAATGCTTAAACACTTGATACAAGCGGCAATAATGATAATGATATTATGTAAAAATGTGTGTTCTGGGAATGAATAAAGAATTATCATATCATTGTCTGTATATTGCAATGATGCAAGAAGAATAATTATCATGGAAATTTACAAATGTTATAATTTGAATTAGAAATTTTTACTTTATTTTTTTTCGTGTATTTTCTTTCAAAATAAAAATGCCTCTTCCCTTTTACAAATTAAAGCCATTCTTTTTATTACCACATTTCATAAATCAAATTGTCTTTACATACAGTACATATGAGCTGTATTAAATTGATGTTTTTTCGAATTTTTGACTTTGAAGTTAAATACACGTAATAGTAATACGCAATAATATTAATAATGTTTTGAGCTGTCTGAATTTGAAGCAACATAAGTTGATCAATATTGGTGCTTTACATAGCACATAAGACAGGTTTTAGTACATATTTTTGTAAGTTTTAATTTCGTTTTCTATTTTTATCACTTTTAAATCTTCAAAGAATGCCAAAATGCTTTTATTGTTGAATCACGATAAATCAATCACTAGGGGTTTGGTGACGAAGGAAGTTGTTCTTTAATTTATACGAAAAAATTGTTTGTTACACGTCACTCTCCGCAAAGAAAAAGGAAATAATGTAACCGTTACTCTCAAAAAGATCTCCAACAATTAACATTCATTAAAACACCAAGTCGAATTTTATATTTTATACTTTTACACAATGTCACATAATAAATTATTATCATCATTATCACAAGAAAGAAAAGGATTTGTATATAAAATTGATAATGAAATGTATAATAACACAATGGTTAATTCTGATGAAGGAAGTATAAAAGATTATTTTTTTTCATTAGTCAAGAAAAACAAAGAGCTTTCTGAAAATGAAAAAGAATTTTGTAAGGAAAATTTTATTTATTGGTTTGAATTAGGAAATGCAAGAGATAAATCAGGCAAACCTAAAGAATGTAACAAGTGTAAATTGACAAGATACTCTGATAGGTTCTGTGAAGGTTGTATTAATTTACAATTAAAGAGTCTTTTCACCACTTGGACATCTGGGAATAACATAGTTGACAACTTTATTCAACAATGTCAAATGAAATCTTCTCTGCCACAATATATTTTAGAATGGATACCTTTTGAGCAATTTAAAAAAGTAACAAAGCTGACTGAAGGTGGATTTAGTTCAATTTATACTGCTACGTGGACAAGAGGAGGTATTAATGATTATGACGAAAATAAAAAGGAATTTAGTTATTTAGGAATGGAAAATGTAGTATTAAAAAGTTTAAATGATTCAAGTAATCCAGGAAAGGCTTTTTTGATGAGGTTGGTAGTTGTCATTTAAAACAAAATAAACAATGTATAATACTAATTGATTTTTATATTTAATTACAGGCAATGAATTATTGTAAAATTAGAGCACCACTGATTGTTTCACAGATAATGGGAATTATGCATTTTTTTACCTTATGGAAATTTAAGGAGTAATTTACAAAAAAAACTATTTAAATTTAACATTAAAAATAGAATTATAATAATTTATCATTTATGTGATGCATTACATCAGATAGGTTGGAAAGATTTAATCCATTGTGATTTATATAGCGGTAATATATTATTGCAAGGAGATAATTGTTTTATTACAGATTTGGGATTATGTGATCCAGTTGATGAAAAGTCATCAGGCAAAGTCTATGGAATTGTAGCATATGTTGCACCTGAAGTATTTAAAGGCAAAAAGAAACAGATATCTATAGTGTTGAGATGTTAATGTGGGAAATATTTGCATGTCATCCACCATTTGATGATAGAGCTCACAATCATTGTCTAATTTTGATATATGTGCAGAAGGTTTACGACCACCAATATTGCCTGGAATGCCTGAAGATTATGCACAAATGATGCAGAGGTGTTGGGATGTGGATCCATCAAAAAGATCAATTAGTAGAGAGCTTGGGACTTTGCTGAAAACAAACATATGGAAATTGTTAAAATAATAATGGTAACATGTTATTGAAGTGTGCCGAAAACGATGGTGCTTTCACATTAAAGGCTGATAATAATTCTCCAGAGACTTTATTCATGTCATTTTCGGCTCTAAGTAAGCAAAAAATTTATTTGCTAACTTTCAGAAAATAAATTATTTAATAAATTAATTGTTTATTTATTTATTTTATATGCAAATGATAAACTTAGTGAATATGAATTGAAATTTATGGACATTGATCAAGAGAATTTAAGTATTCCAGAAACAGTATATGATGCAATAGTAAGTTTACCATCTGCCAAGTTTCAAAAAGTGTGTCATGACATGACGGTTACTGGCAAAACTGGTAATTTATATAACATTGTTGTTTTTTTGAAATATATTGCTATGATTGTTATTATTGTTATTATAGTTAATTAATATTAGATTATTTTTCTTAAAAAATTGTAATTGACAGTTATGAAATTAGATTCATTACAGATGTGAACTTGGTAATGGCAGCATAAAATTGAAATCAACTTCCTCCCATAGATAAAGTGATTATTTTTTTAATGATTTTTAAAATATTTATTTGTCTGAAGAAACAACGAAATTATTAATATATTAGATGAATTTTACTAAAGATTTCCCATTATCTGAGCAGGTTAGATTATGTTTATCTGAAGAGATACCATTGCTTGTAGGATATACCATAAATTCTACAAGTAGTTTTCTTTGATATTATCTTGCACCAAAGATTAATGAATAATAATAAATAAATAGATGAGTAAGTTAGTAATTTTTAATAAAAAAATTATTAGATTTTATGAATGTACTTTAAATATGAAATAATAAGATAATAAATTTGCATTTGAAAATAACGCATTTTATTTTTTATTTATTTATTTAAAAATTATATATGCATAATAATATTTACAAGAAGGAGAAAGATATATGAATATATATATATATATATATAGAAAAATAAATGCAAATAATAAATTCTAAGAAAATTAATAATAATAATAATAATTAACCTTCCATGC